GTCAGGAGAGGTCTGCCACGCCATGTGGTCACCTCCGGGGCAGGCGGGAATCGAACTCATGCGGAAGCGGCTTTAGATTCTCAGTGCAGTGCTTTACCCCGCTGCGCCACCAGGGAGGGCCCATTTTCTTCTTTTTTATAATAGTTTATTTTTACATTTTTTTGTGCATTTTCCATCTCAGTTGCAACCCCCTTAGGTTTCCCATCACCAAATCACTCATGTGCCATCACCATAGTCCAGTGCATTTCCCTCACCTACTGTTTTAAAGAGAACCATTTTTTTTCTGGAAGATTATTTATTAAAATCTCACAGATCATGGTATTTGGTGGAACATAGTTGTCTGAGATTACCCCAAAGGAATAGACAGCGTAAGGCAGAATTCCAGGTGATGGCAATGTGATAGTCAGTGAAAAAAATTCTTTGTGGGTAGGAAATGTTTTTTTGGTGCTTCGCTCAACACAGGCCCACTGAATACCTGTTCACCTTTCTCTGTGGTGAATCACACCATGTATTTCACCACTTACTGTATGTACATTAGTCTAGTCTCTGGAATTGTGGCCACCAATTCTGAGCAGAGTGCTAAGGTATGAGGAGGTATTCTTCCTCCCACAATTGGTACCTCCTTCCTATCCCATATTGAAATAGGAGTGGTGAGTGGGGGTGGTTTTCAAAGATTCTATAAGTAGCATCCTTCTCCCACTCTAGGGGCCTTGACACTTCCATTTTTTGTCACTTCTTTTAAAAGACCATGGTTTTAACTGGATATCTTGGAGCTTTTAACTTAGAGAAAGGTGGAAAGAGAGCTTGAAAGGGGCATTTGGAATCTTAGAGTTGTTTAGTCATTTAATCAGGTATATTTATAAATATTAGTTGTCCTGTAACTGCAGTAGACTTGTTTTCCATAATTAGTCTCTCCTTAACAGTCTTGTTACTTGAAAGCATTTCCAACGATTCTTTCCTCAACTTCCTTTTCTCTTCCTCCTGTGTACTATCCCTGGATAATGTTACCTATGCTTTTGGTTTTAGTTACCACTGATAATTCACAAACTCAGATCTCTTAAAACCAACCTAGATCTTGTTTCTGAGTTCCTGACTAGTAGTGGCCAGGTACTATTCACATCATAACCTTGATGACTCTGGAGAATTTTAAACAAAAATTTTCTCAAACCAGGCCCTCCCTGGTGTCCCAGCAAGTTAAAGCACAGCACTGAGAAGATAAAGTCATTTCAGCATGAGTTCGATCCCCACCCCGAGATGATCCACATGGCGCTACAGACCTCTCCTGACCCGCCCGCTGCTCCCCTCAGCAGTGTACTTCATCCATCTGCCTGTTCTGCTCCCCACTCTATCTCTGGTGAATCCTCTGACCGCCCCTGCACCTCTGGCCTGTATCCCAGCTCTGTATGCATAAATAAATAAATCTTTTTTAAAAAAAATCTTGGGAGGAAGCTTTATGGATGAGGTTAGAGGTGACCAAAGGCACCATAGGTGAGGTAGGGATCAGGAGACCTATTTGGAAACATGCAGAGTGGAGAAGCCATAGGCAATTTGATCCTGAGCTTGTTTTGTCACTTGCTCTGCAAGTCATAATGGAATTTCATGAAGTTTGGTTCCTTTTAAAAGATTTTGATTATAAGTGTAATCCACTACTTAGCTGGAACCTTTTCTCTTAGCATTTTGGTTCATAATGTCATTCTTTGATATTTTATAGCAAGTAGGATTCTTTTATCTAGATTTCAAATTCCTTACAATCCATATATTTATGGTTATTCTAATTTTGAGCTCTTGTGTCCACTGAATTAGCTTTGATTAGAAATGATCTTACTATTTCAAACATCATTTCCCTATTCCCATCCGCATTAACACTGATAATGAAATCTCTTCCAGCTAAATCCTTTATGTGTATGGTAGAATAATGAAAGATTTGAGATAATGAAGAGGATTTTACATTGCAGCAAAACAAGCAACTTGAATTCTAGTGCTGGCTTATCCCTAAAACTTACCATTTCTCCATTAGAAATTTACCACTATCCTATTACCTATATATATATTATGGTATTGGTCTCATTATCTTAACTTTCCTATGCAGATCTTCCTGTCTTTGTTGCCACTAAACACTCCAAATGCCTCTCACTCTTTATAGCAAAGCAGTTGAACTCTTTCTTTCTCTTCCAAACTCAACTCTGGTTTTACTTCTTTATTTCTGTCTCTTTATTTACTCATTGAGTAAAACGTTAACCTACTTCTTTATCTTACAGAGATCTATAGAATCTTTAAGTGTCTTCCCTCTTTTCAAACTATTGTTTGTTTTAAATAGCTTTTATACTGCTTGCCTCAGGAATAGTTTTGCTTTGAAGGATCTATGGAGGGAAGGTAAGGGGATATTCCAGGTAAGGGCAACAATATGAATATACTAGCAACCTACATGACACACCTATTATGGGCAATGAAAAAACTAGTCCGACTGGAAATAAAAATTCTTGTTGGTGTACAGAGCTCAGAATAGAATAGAAAGTCTAGAAACAGGCCATGGGAAAGGATAGTGTTTAGGACAAATGATACAGTCCAGCTCTCCAGTCATTAAGAAAAACAAAACTGTTAAAATAGATTCTAGATGGAGTAAAGACTTTTATATAAAAGCTAGTAAATATACTAGAAAATAGTGTTTTTAGTATGCACCAAAGGCAGAAACTATATAGGAAAAAATGGGATGGATTAGCTTAAAAAAGGATGAAACAAAGCACACCAAACATCAAATAAAAAGCAGATGATAGACAGGCTAAAATGTTTTCAACATATCTCTACAAGGTATAAATAACACAAGAAAGTTAGTCGAAATCATCGAAAAATAAGTACAAATGACTAATAAAGGATATGGAAAAAGACTCACAATTTAAAAAATACAGAAAACTAAAAAATATAAATAAGATTTTTTTTCAATGGTTAGATTCACAAATATTGAAAAGAAAAAGATATTTATTGCTGGTGAGAACTTAATACAAACAGAGACTCATATTTTGTTGGGGATATAAATGAATACAGTTTCTTTGAAGTTCATTTGGCAATATGTGTCACATTTAAAGTGTGCTTACTCTAAAACAGCAGTTTGACACTTCCTAGGAATTTACCTCCAAGGCAAATGTGTAAGACATACATATGATGATATTTGTTACCATAGAGTTTACAAAGCAATCATGATGGTCATGAACAGGGGATTGGGATTGGTCAAATAAGATATGGTATGTCTGTATAATGAACAATAAAGTAGCTCTGAAATTATTGATATGGCAAGATGGCTATGATACACACATACACACACATTTTAGCTATGGTTATCTGTGTGTGTGTGTGTGTGTGTGTGTGTATATATATATACTTTGTGTGTGTGTGTGTGTATATATATATATATATATATACACTTTATGTAATAGTTTATTTTTACATCATTTTATACATTTTTCCATCTCAGTTGTAATCCCCTTGGGCTTCCCATCACCAAATTATCTGTGTATATATCAAAATCCATACAACAAAATACTAACAAATGATCTTTTTTCTGATTCAGGAAAAAAAACAAACCTACTTAAAAAACAGGATATACATTTTGATTTGAGGGGTTATGGGTTGCCTGCAACCAGACAGTTGTTTTTTTTTTTTTAATCTTGGGCTAAGCAGTAAATAGTGGTTATATAAGCAGTGATGAGGGAAGGTTTTATGGTGTGAATATATGTAATGAATGAAATGAAAAGTGAGTTTAGAGAAACCATTTAGGAAGCTATAATAGTCTAGGCCTAAAACAGTAAGTTGTCAACTGGGTACACAGTGGGATAAGAAGAGCATCAATCCGAAGGTCATTTCATAAAGGAAACCACTGATTTGACAGTCTGTCAGACAGGAAGAGGTTAAGGAAGAAAGAGTAAAAAGCCCCTGATAAATGCCAAGGTGTCTGTCAACTATGTGAAGTTGGAAAATTACCTGTCATTACAGAAATGGGGGAACTGGCAAAGGAATCTTTCTTCTAAAAGGGGAAGATTAACATGTTTCTTGGAGTTGAATTTGAAGGGTTAGAGAGGTACCTCCAAGGAAATACTTTGCAGTCCAGGGTGGGGGTGGAGGATTCTTCTAAAATAGAGGCAATGATTACTTTGGAAAAAAGGCACATCTAAAATAGAGGTAATAGGTGAGAGCGGGGACTCTAAATTTGAGTCTTGAGATGCTTAGACATCTCAAGTTTTAGTTCTCTCTTGACAGTCTTGACAAGTAATCTCAATTGGAACCCCAGCACAGAGCTTGAAGAGAGGTAGGAATGGGCAGTAATCATTGTAATAAAACAACAGCCACAACATTTTAAAGATCATTTCCATTTACAAAGGTCAATATACACAGCAACTTAGTTAACATAATTCTGCATTGCTGTCATTTGTGGATGCTGATGCTCATTTAGATAGTAGAATAGCAGCTCAAGCATAGTTATTCAACCTCAAATTTCATTTCTTTCTTCTCCACTCTCCATCTCTTAGGGGTGAATTTTCCATGAAGGGAAAGAATAGAGCATAAATTGCCGCCTGAAGCAAGGAGTATCCTCACAGTCAAGAAATGGAAGGAAGCCATGGAAGCTACAGCTATCACTCACAGTCACTGTCCTGTCCCCTACCCTTTATAAGGCTTGATATTTCCCTAAAGCAGAATTCAAAGGGGGAAAAAGTTCTTACCTGTCCATAAATAGCTTGAGGTATTTTGGCAGTAAATTGACCAAATTGTTATAACGGAGTTAATGTTTAGTGGTTGATTGAATTCTGGCTTCTTTCTTTCAGAAGCAATGTAGTGAAAGCATATTGACTTAGACCCATGAGGTAAGGGCTTGTCTGAATTGATTACATGAAAAAAAATTTTTTTTGTTAAGTCATTAAGTTTGTTTACTTTTAGAATCACATGGTAACTCACTTGCGTGTTGTGCTAGCTGGTAGAGATCTGGAGAGGTCCTGCCTTAATGAGTTGAAATCAGAAGTCTCTTAATTCATTTGAATCCTCAACCTATAATCATTTTTATGTGATTATTTAACTAACCCTGTACCCCAGTTATGTATGCATAAAAAAATAAATCTTGAAAAAAAAAAGAAAAAAGAAATCTACCTTTATGAACTTCCTCATTATTCCAGAGACTTTCTCAGCAGTCTGATTTTTTTAAAAAGTAAGATCATGTGACTAGGATTCAAGTAACATCAGCTTACTGGCTTTGGTAATAATCCTTGTCTGTGGAGTCACAACTCACAGAAAGGAAACTTCCCATGGTACCTCCATTTTGTCCCTTGCTAGCTAATTCTAACAGTGTAAATACAAAATACAATTATCTTTTGTTCGAAGTTCTGAATCAACAAAATCCACTTTAAAAAGTTCTCCTGCAGTTGATAGGCTGGTGTGTGCTAAGAAGCCTGTAAGATGGTGCAGTGCTTGGAGCATAGTGGGCAGTCAGGAAATGGTGATGAATGAAGGAATGAGTGAGTGAAGTACTGGTATGTAGAACAGTAACATCACTAGAGCTTGGGTGGGTAGTTTTAGAAGTTTTAGGGTATGGCTTTTATAGTGGAGAGGGACAAAATGGAGGTACCATGGGAAGTTTGCTTTCTGTGAGTTGTGACTCCACAGATAAGGGTTATTTCCAAAGCCAGTAAGCTGATGTCACTTGAATCCCAGTCACGTGATCTTACTTTAAAAAAAAATCAGACTGCTGAGAAAGCCTCTGGAATAATGAGGAAGTTCATGAAGGTAGATTTCTTTTTTTATTCCTTCAAGATTTATTTGCTTATGCATACAGAACTGTGGTATAGGCCAGAGGTGTGGGGGAAGCAAGAGGATTCACCAGAGCCAGAGTAGGGAGCAGAACAGGCAGACTCATAAAGCACTGCTGAGGGAAGCAACAGGTGGGACAGGAGAGATCTGCCGCGCCATGTGGGTCACCTACCTCTCTGGCAGGGGATCGAACTCCCACTGAAGTGCTTTAATCCATTCCACCAGCAGGGAGGGCACAGTGAAGGTAGATTTCTTACTGGCAACTTGGATCTTACCCAAAGAGAGCAGCTACTTTATAAGTATTCTGTAGGATGCGCTCTACCACTTGTCCTCTTACTGCTTGAATTCTAAATCAGGAACTTCTCTGGCTTTTGCTTACTCACTCTGGCTGTGCCTTGAGCCGTTGGTGATTTTGATGGAGGAAGTAATGGCAGGAGGGCATCTCAAGACTGACTCACACAAGGAGTCTGGGGCAGAAGGAATTAGCATAGCCATTGACCCAGCTATAGAAACCAAGATCCTTAGGCACCAATGCCTAGGTTACAAAGCATAAGATCCAAGCAGGTAGCAGGCTGCATAGGTGAGTCTATCACAGATGCAGAAGTGAAAGATAAAGATAAGGAGATGGAGTCCATTGTGGGATCTCCTTTCAAATTCTATTCAAAATCAACAAACCTAGGCTCATGAGAGAGCTCCTCTCAGAGAGAAGATGTCTGTATCTGCATTCTGCACCAGCAGCACAGGGTAGCAGTCCTTTCCCCACATATGACTGCACAGGTGCGTCTTCCTGCCTACTCTCTCCCTCTTCGGGGCAGCAGCCTCCCGCCTACCCATGATCATGCTAGGGCTTCTCTGCGGAGAACAGCTCTCCTAAGGCTGCCTGCCTGCAACCATGCAGGCCTCTCTTTGCAAACCTGCCCCTTCCCAAGCAGCTCTCCCTGCCTTCTTGTGCCTGTGTGAGTGTCCAGTGTTCCTGTCCTTTCCCCTAATAAACCTGCTCTTTAAATATAACCGAGTCTGTGTCTCTTGGAAGAACTGGCCTGGGAATTTGCGCATGTTGCTGAAAGAGGAGATCTGGGGAAACCTTTCCCAGAGTGAACTCAAGGACCCTGCTCTAACTCCAAAAACGACATCAGTTTTTAGCTTTGTTGGAAATTACACCCTCTTGGAGGTAAAGCCAACTGTGAGGTTCTGGCTCTGACTCCAGAGGAGCTAGAGCTGTCACCTGGCCCTGTCCTGTGTTTCCTGTCATGCATTCCTGGCTACCTTTATGCCCCTTAGCCCATTCTGCCAAGCCGCAGTTAATTCTGCCTGGGTGGGAATTTAGAACTGGTTCAGGGGAACTGTGGGGAAGAGGAATGTTGCCTTTGGAAGAAACTCCTCACACCAATTTCCATATCCTGCCTTAGGAGAATTATTAATCCCTCATAGATGATATAATAATAAGTGATTGTAGAACATGGAGATTATTTATTATCACAGAAACATTTACCACTGAGTTTAAGCATTGAACTTGTTTTTCAAAAAAAAAAAAAATGACTTTTCCACTTTTCCAATGTGCAGTTATTTGCATCAGAAAGTCTTTTGAGGTTTTCTAGGCAAACTTCCTTGTTTCAGAAATGAGAAAACTTTGAGGTCCGGCAAGGGCAAAGCCATGTTGTGCTGAGTAGTTGACTCTTAGATTATATAAAAGGGATTGAAGCAAAAGGAAGCAGACACTGTGTAAGAGAAAGTAACAGTCCCTTCTGGAGAAACATTTCTCAAGGTGTTTTTTTGGGTGAGGAAGGAAAAAAAAAAATGCTTCTTTTCCTGGGAATGCACTATGAGATTAGGTAGTTCCTGCCTCACTTTCTTGCCTTAGTCTTTTTAGACTGAACCCAAAACAAGATAGTAACCACCTCTGTACTTGCAAGGTTTATTTAAATAAGTGAAAGAAAACATAAATTGCAGAATATGAATGACTGAATACAGTTCTATTAAGTTTACTGTATAACCCAATATGAAGATAGCAAAATATCATTGGAGGTTCTTCAAGAAACTAGTTTATTATCCATCATGTAATTAGTGTTTGTGAAGTCCATTCATCATTTATTAACTGTATATTAAATTGGTAACTTGATGAAGTGATAGTGAATGACAAGTACAGAGAAGTACTTTGGGTACTCAGAGGAGTAATTTCTAACTTTTGGATCTAGAGAATCAGGAAGATAAGTGAAAACAGTTTTTTTTTTTGTTTGTTTTAAACACTAAATCCTCTTGCTTATACCCAGAAATATGTTGATTAAAAAGGAGAATATTCTTTTTCATATTTTTAAAAATTACTCGTATTACTAAACCCTAGATTAATAGCAACATGGTGTTTTTCACTATATTTCTTTGTTGATCTCTAAAGCAGTCTGCTTTCTTACTAGACAGTAGCTGTGTAGCTGGTGAATCTGAGGCAAGGGCCTAGTCGGGAAGGGCCACTATTTGAAGAAGCTTGTCTGTGAAGCAAGTGGAGTAAGTGAAGTAGAGGAAGAACACAGAATCTGAGTAGGGTTACTTATTTTTTTTGAGGCCTGAGCATGTCCCTGTGCTATGGAAAGAGAGCTAGTAGATAGGAGAAATGTATAGCTAGGAAAGAGAAGTAAAAATTGTTCAGCAACGTCCCTGGGGAGAAGGAGCTTTATCCTGATCACTGGTGAAGAGATGAAATTTGAACTGTATAAAGGAAAAGCTGCCACTTTGATGAATTCCATCACTACCCCCCACCTACCATTTTTTGCTTTCCTGCCTTTTATTTACACTCTCTTGAACACTTTTTTGTCTCATATGATAGGGGCTGAACAGCACTGTGATAGGAGAGACAAGATTTGGGGAAGACAAAGTTTAGTTTCCTTCTGTTGGGCTTTTTTCCCTTGGCAAAGGCAGTTGAAGTCATCTGCTGGAAATAGGTGAGCTAGTGGGCACCATGGCATGATTTTCAAAAAACTATTGTGCCATGGCAGTGATCTGAGGACACAAAGAAAGATAACTGAGCAGTACTGTCCTTGTTAGCTGAAGATCTAGTTCATGTTGGAGATGTAACAGCCCTTTGACTTAATGGGTGCTTTAACAACACTCCACAACTTGCGTGCTAAAGTAGAGGCGCTTTGATTTAAGCAGGAGATGTGCTTTATGGGGCAAAGGAAAGACTTGGGAGTAGGGAACTCTAGGATATTGGTAGCAGAGTGGTTGTCTGGTTGGCTAGAGTGGGAAGTGAAGCCATAGACTAATAAGCAGCAAAATAATGGGGAGCTGAAAATGTCAGTGAAGTTGAAATACAGATACTGTAAAGACAAGAAAGAGTAGAAATACAGATCATTTACCAGGAAAAGGTTCGGACTTGGAGCAGAAGGCAGATTCTGATCAAGAACTCAGAGTTGGGCCTTCCTGGTAGCATAGGGGTTCAGTTTCCATACTATCAAGCTATCCACAGCCATTGCAGCCTGAGTTCAATCCCTGGCCAGGGAGGCTACCCACATGGCACAGCACACTTGTCTTGCCCACTGCTCCCCGCAGCAGTGTATTTCAGTCAGTCTATCTGTTCTTTTCCCCACTCTGTCTCTGGTGAATCCTCTTACCTTCCTCCTTCTCCCTGTAGCCCCCACCTCTGGCCTACACCTTAGTTCTTGTATGCATAAATAACAGTAAATTTTTTTTTAAAAAACAGAGTTTTTGAACATGAGATCAGTAAGATAGCTGTGAGGAAGGCGGAATATAATTGGTACAGGCCTCATCAAAATATTTTTTTTTTGGTCAGGTAGTAGAAATAAGGAATAAATAGCAATAAATAGCATTGAGACAGATCATCTGTTTCTCCTCTTGGTACAGAAGAATGATTTTGTGGATTTCCTAGAAATCAGATTTCTCAAAGGGTATCAGGTTTCAGCTAGGGGGCAGGAGGCCAGCAACATCTTTTAGACTTTCTACATACTGTGCCTAAAGGCAGGAGTTGTTTTTGAGTGTATGTGCCCACCTCTCCTCCTATTTTTTTTTTTTTAAATGTATGCATACTAGAGCTGGAGTGTTGGCCAAAGGTGCAGGAGGGCAGAGGATGGGAGGATTCACCAACTACAGAGTGGGGAGCAGAACAGGTCGATTAACTGAAATACTCTGCTGAGGGGAGCAGTGGGCAAGACTCTCCATGTAGATCAGCTCCCTGGCCAGGATTGAACTTGTGCTGCAGTGGCTGTGGGTAGCTTCATGGTGCTGAGACTTAATCCCTTGTGCCACCAGGGAGGCCCCTTTGAGGCAGGAGTTTTAATATTCTGGGGACTAGGGGAGTTCTGGCCAAGTGACTAACTTCCACAAAGTATTGGTCTTCTGGGCAAATTTGCAGGAGTAGGACTAAATACTCTTGTAGCAAAATCCCATTTGACTAGGTTTTTTTTTTTTTTAACTATTCAGAATCAGATCAGACTTATGTTAACAACATATCTGTGAAAGATTGAAGGAAACTTTGTAAAGGTTTCTGCTTAAAATTCCAGGAGTTCATGAATTCTTGAGTTTTTCTGTTCCTTTGGAGTCAAATTTACTTTTTCTTCCATAGTGACATCAGGTAACACTCAAACCCCACTAATTTGAAAGATTCTGGAAATACTCAGATTGTTGTTTTTAATGTGTTTTTGGGTTTTCAGTGATTCAGAATCCTTTATTAGTCAGTACATGAGGCCAAACATTTAAGAAGCCTCTAAATAGCTGAAATAAACAAGAACTTCACAGTTCTTTTTTGCCCCTTCTTTACGTGATCCATGTATACCATGACTGACTACAAAACCAGATATGAACTGTTCCAAAGTTGATCACCTCATCACCATTTTACCACATACATCTAAGCAAGGTTGTGTGGCTTACAGCAGAAGTTATGTGACT